TATCAGAACTGTGCAATGATCCTTTCACCCAGGAAAGTCTGTGAAATACACACTGTCTCTCTGCTTTATCCTCCAGCTCATATGTGCTGTCTTTCGGTTCATCCATCATCGCCCGAGCATTTTCTGATGATAGCACTGTGCTGGAACCAAGGGACTGAAACACACCCCTGCCTTCGAGGTTTTGAAAGCTGGCAAAGGTGAGGGTGGGGGGATACACATTGTCAGAGAGCTCTAATCAAAGAAAGACAGTTGTGTCGCCAGAGAAAGACACAGATGTGTATCTGGTGGTATAGAGGTGGGAGGGTAGAGGAGGGCACATGCCCACATAACTAGGGCACCCACGGGTTCAGGGAAGGTCAACAGGGGCAGATGGTCTTGCCTGAGGGTAGAATGCAGGATGAGGAGGGGCTGGAGTTCAAGCCAGAAAGTCTGGGACTGGTGTTCAAAGGACTCTAAGGGGCTTCCTTCTTCTGAAAGGTTGCCAGTTCCAGATCAACCCAGATGTAGATGGCACCCATTTGTGGGGAACCTCAGTTTCCCCTTCTGTACAATGGAAACCATGAATGTCGCCTATGAGGGACCTGTGTGAGAGTGGGGCAAGGGGAAGTAATAGCAGAGTGCATTGATATTCTCTAGGGTAGGTTGGAAAGGAAATGCAAATCACAGATATTTATAATTGCAGCAAACTGAAACCCAAAAGATATTGCCGCAGGCCGCCAAGCATTCCCGCTGGAAATCCTGAGAACCTGCTACCTTGAGGCTGTGCCCAGATCCCAGCTGGAAGTAGACTTATCTCTTCTCAGCTCCTGCCAGGCTGTTCCTCATACAACAAACATTAAGTTCCCCACATAACTCTACCTACAGAGGAGGAAGCTCCACACCCTTCTGTCTTCTCTTTTCAAAGAACCAAGCTGAGCCCTAAACTCCCAGGTCATGACAAGCTACTTTTTTGTCCTCAGTGCCTCACCAGGCAGCCCTGTCAAAACTAGACCCCCAGAGCTGGGAACGGCATGACTTGGGAAACATCGTGGGGTCCCACTGGTCTCCTGAGCCGGCCCCTGATTCATGGAGCCTCCCCTGTGGCAGGCTTGTGCTAGGCATCTGAGGAGCTCAGGAGAATGGCAGGAGGGCAAGGACTGGCCTCAGAAGGACAGGTGGGGAACAAGGTCCTAACCTCAGCACAATTTCCTCTTCTACCAAAGGGAGGGAAAGACCACATTGATTTCAACTTTTTTCTTCTTTTAAAAATGTCAACGGGTCCCTTTTTTTCACATGTTATCCTTCATGGGACTCCATGTACATAGCTGGAGAGCACCTGTGGGTGGCCTCCTCAGGCATTTCAGAGGGATTCTAAAATAGTGCTTCTCAGACTTTAATGTCCATAAGAATCTGAGTGGATCTGGTGAAACACAGATTCTGACTTAAAGATCTGGGATAGGACCCAGCTGACATTGATGCCGGTGATCCATGGACCGCATTGGAAATAGCAAGTGTCTAGAGCTCTAAGAATTGGTTGAAACCACTGTCTTTAGGAGAGAGAGACAATGAGCCTCCCCTTACCCCATCCCTGGAAATATTAAACCAGATTTCCTGGATTAGATTCTCCTTCTCTGGATTGAACTCAGTTTCTGCAATCAACTCCAAACCAAGATCCTAGGATGACCTCCTCCTTACCTCCCTCTTGCTCTGGGTGTCTACCATCTCTACAAGGCAGTCTGGGAACATTCCTGAGAGGTGTGGCCATGAGGAAGAGCTCTAAGCCACATCGTTCTAACAGAAAAGTATAAAAGGTTAAGGTAAATCCTCTCTAACCCACCCACCACCTTAACACACAGAGAGATCAAATCAGTGTTCTCACTGGCTCTTGAAAAGGATGGCCTTGTGACAGCCACTTTCTCCCTGCCCTCTCGTGACCCCAGCAGATGAATGACGGAAGTCATTTTCCTCACAGAGTCCCTGTCCCTTAGGCCCAGCCCCCTCGGGACTGAGATGCTCCCACTGAAGTCAAAGGTATTTTTAGCTCTGCTCATGTGGGACCATGCTTGGCCAATCCTCCCTGGACATCAATCTTGGATTCCACAAATGCCAGCTCTTCTAATCCAGGAGGCACAGAGGCGACAGAGAAATCTGAGTGCATTGGAAAATGAAGCACATGGCCTTTTGAGGATTTTGTCCATATGCTGCGTGTGATAAAAACAACAACAGTAACACCTAATGCTCAGAAAATACTTCAGCATTTATAGAGCATTTCCACTGGCTTGGCCTCATTTGATCTTCCCAAGAGGCTTATGGGAAAGATAAGGCAAAAATGATTCTTATTGGGCAAATGGGTGGCTCAGATGGTTAAGCATCTGCCTTCTGCTCAGGTCATGATCCCAGGGTCCTGGGATCAAGTCTTGCATGGGACTCCCTGCTCCTTGGGGAGCCTGCTTCTCCCTCTGCCTCTCTCTCTCACTCTCTGTCTCTCATGAATAAATAAATAAAATCTTTTTTAAAAAATGATTCTTATTGTATTTAAAAGAAGGGCCAAGTAACTTGGCATGATGACAGAGCCAGTAAGTAGCAAACTTGGGTCTTCAGCCTCCAGGTCCAAATCCAGTGCCCTTTACAGGATCCCCACACAACTCCAACCTTTTGCTTCTCCTTCTAGCTTAGTTTTGTTTTCTGATGAAATATTGCAAGGAGCAAAATCTGCAGACTTTCATGTGAAAAGCCTGGGGTCAGAAGTGCTTTTAAAAAATGGAAGACTGGAAGCAAGGAAGAAAGAGGCACGCTGTATCAGTCACGGTTCTGGGACGAAGCAGAAGACATGCTCAAGAGAGGGTGACCAAAGAGAGATTAGTTAAAGAATAATTTATACAGGTGTGGGCAGGGTTAAGGAAAACCAAGAGATGGTGAGGCATACTGGGGCTAACAACAACTGGGAGCTGCTACCAGTCCACCATCTGAAAGGACAATGGGAGAGGCAGTTCCTAGGATCTGGCAGCCATGCCGGAAAGCTGCAGCAGAGGGCTGCTGACAGGAGCTGTGGCCTTCCATGCAACATGCAGCCACCGCTAATCTACAGCCAGCAGAGAGGGGGATGTGGGAAGATATGTCTTCACTTCCCCCTCTTCCCACCCTCCGATTACCTTATCAGTGAGTACAACCAGAAGCCAGAGGGCATGGAAATCTACTGATCTCCACAACGTCCACCTCCTGAAGAGGGGTAAGAGAAGGAGGAGGATGGATTTGGAGGGTCAGATAGAGAACACCAGGCACACAGCTACTCTAGCCAAGAAATTGGTTGCAGTGGAGGTAGAGGGAGGGCAGACATAACAGCGTCTGAGGGGCTGGATTTTGAAGAGGAGGCAGTAGCCAGGTCCTCCAGAGTGGAGTTACCCCAGAACCCAGCTGTCACTCCCTGGGGCCACTTTGGCCCTGAGTATCAGGAGAACGTGAGCGCGCGCGTGCACGCGCACACACACACACACACACACACAAGCAGACTAATAGCTCCCAAGAGGCCCAACCAACCCCATAGGCAGGGTTGGCTGTCTTCGAACCTGGGTTTAAATCCCAGTTCCTCCATTTTGCTTTGTGTGACCCTAGGCAGTGCATTTAATGTCTCTGAGTCTTGGAGCCTCACCTGTGGGGCGAGTGCTGCCTGTCCCAGGACAGATGGGCACCATACACACTGAGAAGCACACCAGGTCAGGATGTAAGAACGTGGTAAGAACACCACACAAGGAAGTCATGTAAGAATGCGGTGGAGTCTAAATGGTCTGGACCATCTATGCCTCATTTGCTCTCTGTAAAACCCAGCTCCTCATACCTAGACTTGAGGCAGGGTAAAGCCAAAGAAGTCCCGGAATCACCATGTCAACCTTCTGCTGTCTAAAAAGAAGAAATAAGAAGTGTCATAGTAGGTGGCAGAGATGGGACCAGGAGGTGTCCTCTTATGGCCTCATGGCATGCCCCCACTGTCCTTGTCCCTTGCACATGACAGTCAGTGGGACAAAGGATGAGGAAGTGTCTTGTCAATTGTACCAGTGGTGGTGATCATTTCAGTTAATAGCAATCTTTCCCCCATCAACCTATCCCAGGGAGGAAAAGTCCCATCATTAACCATGTCTTCAAGGGTACTAAAAAGTGTGATTATTTGACCAGGATAAGGCACAAGAATACCCAAAAGCACACCATCAGGGGTGTTCATCTGAGTCAAGATAGAAGAGGACAGGATCCAGAGGCCACAGGTAAGTTGTGATGGGGGGCAGGTGGCACAGAAGACCAGAGCTTGATATGCTCCCTACAAAGGAAGGAAAGCTTGGGTGGGGACCCAAGAGGGGACATAAGAGTCCCAGCCCCAACTGGCTAGAGGAGAATTTAGGTAGAGGAGGAAAGCCCAATGCTGAGCAGCTGATGGGCTCCCCCAAGTCCTCCCTGAGAGCAGGCAGAATTGGACCCCACTCTACAGGCCCCTCCTTTAGCAGGCAGACCCTGATGGGCAGGCTGCAGCAGACCCCTCCATCTGTGGATTCCTCAGGGGAGAGTTTGTTTGTTAAAAGGGGATCACATGCCATGTTGCAGCTTTTAATCTCAAAGCCAAGGGGCGCCTGGGTGGCGCAGTCTGTTAAGGGTCTGACTCTTGGTTTCCACTCAGGTCCTAATCTCAGGGTCGTGAGATCAAGGCCTATGTTGGGCTCCATGCTCGGCACAGAGTCTGCTTAGAGTTTCTCTCTCTCTTGCCCTCTGCCGTTCCCCCCTGCTCTGTCTCTCTCTCTCTCTCTCTCAAATTAATAAGTAAATCTTAAAAAAAATTTTTTTAAATAAATAAAAGCCAAAATCTTAACTCCTAGTGAAGACCTCCAGCTTTCAGAATGTCTGGACCAGCTCACACCCCACAGAGCTGATTCTGTTCTGCTTCCCTCCTATTGCCCATCTCTTCAAATGCCCTCTGTCCCACCATGTCCAATTGTTCTTCCATACACCCATTGAACAAATGTTAATTGAACACCTACTGTGGGTCAGGCACAGTGCTTATCATGAGGAATATCCTGAGGAACCCTGCCGCACAGATCTGGCCATCCAGACTTGGCTGAAACAAATGTGGGAGCAAAAGCTGGCTCAGTCCAGAGTCCAGTGCTGAACAAAGTCATCTGCTGCTCCTGGAAGGACCATCTTCAGCACAGATATCCTAAACAGAACTGTACATAGTATATCCAGAGAGCCCAACCCTCTCTAAGGACGAAGGTAGTATAGGCTTATCTCAGAATATGGGAGGTAGTTGGACTCCCTGGGGACAATTCCCAGCTCCACAGCCCGGTGAACAACCTTGGGCAAGTTCCTTCACCTGTCTGAGACTCCTTTTCCTCCTCTGGGTGATGGCAGTCATCACAATACCTCCCTCATGGAACCATGATGAGAATTAGGGTAATATATCTCGAGCTCTGAGAACAGTTCCCGGGATGGCAGGTACTCAATAGTCACCATTACTGATGACCTGAGGCCAAGGGGGGGGGGGGGGCATGACTCACCGAATGTCTCTCACCTAGTTAGGAGCAGATGCAGGGTTGGAACATAGATGCCCCAACACCAGGCCAGTGTTCTTTCCACTGCATCTCCTACCTTCCCACCGGGGAATCTGCAACGTGAATTTAGCTATATCCCATTTGAATGTTTAAACAAACAAGGAAATTTGAGCTTGTATTTCTATACAGAGCCTTTCTTATTTGGGCCACTAGAAAGATTATATTTCTTCCACTCAAGTAACCCCATTGCCAACAGCCAATCACCTGCCTCACCCTCCTTGCTAAAGAAACTGAAGCCTCTGATTCCATGGCCAACACATAGGGCCAAGTGTTCCCTGCCGGCCACATCTCGCTGAATCACTGTACCCCCTACATCCCAAATCTTCACGGTTACTTCCCCATCCCACTTCTTTGCTTAGATTGAGAACTGTTTTCACAATCCCACCGGGTAGAGGTTACAAATAGGTGCGATATCTGCTAGTCCTTGTGTGAAGATCTGGGGCCCTGCAGTGGATCAGTAGATCTTATTCACAGGGAGGTGGCAAGCCCATGCCCCAACTCAGTGAAATTAACAGTCGTAGGGGATTTGTGTCACACCAAAGCATATTTAACAGGCCACTGATAACCACTTGCCAATTCCACTGAATCACAAAGTGTTAGAGCTTGGTGCAACTTTAGAAATGATTTGCTCTGATCTCCGTTTCTCTTGTAGGCCTTGTCAGAGTCTTAGCATGGAAATTAGAACAAAAAGTAACCAAATGTTGGGGTGCAGAGTTTGGACCTGGTAGCCAAACTACCTAGGCTCAACTCTGGTTCTAGCCATTATCATGAGGCCTTGGCCAACCCACCTCCCATCACTGTGCCTCAGTTTTCTCATCAGTAAAATGGAGTAAAAGTACTTACCTTAAAGGACTGTTATGAGACTTGAATAAGTTAATAACTAACAAAGTGCTTAGAAGAGTGCCTGGTACATAACCGAGCACTATGTGTTTATAATAAATAAACTAAGAAGACAGGACCTTCTGTGAGTCTCAAACAGTTATACACCCACTGTGGGTGCCTTCAGATTGGATTAGATAGTTTCTCGGGGCCCCTTTATTTTTCTATCCTGGTGACGGCATCCCTTGCTGGGATGGGTGGGTCTGGAAATCCCACCCTGTGCCGCTCTCCGAGATGACAAAACAGCTCTTTGGAAGCACCAAGAAGAACATGGTCGCAGAGGTATAACTCACCTTGCTGAGGCAAAGACCTCTGTGACTTTGAGTTTTGCCTTGGCCTTAGCCAAAGTCATTGCTGGAAGCTGCTAGGGAGCTTGGAATGGAGAGTGTGCCCACCGGCAGTCTCGGGGGGCTTCTGACGGATATCACTGCGCTGGCATTGCTGGGCACTCTTCACTGCCTGCCCTCTGCCCTGTCTCTCTCTGATCCACCTCCTGTTTGATCTCTTGAAGGTGGCTGGGAACTCAGGATCCTCCCTTTGCTTCCACCCAGGCATTCTCCTTTGGAGTCTGATTACGTTAAAAGAACACTATGATTCATTTGGTGCCGCTGCTCTGGGGGGTTGGAAGCAGGGACAAGAGAGTGATGGGGAAAGGGTACAAGTTGGACGTGCACAAAGGGCCCAGATTTGGAGGATGCTCTGCTCACTGCGGATGAGGAAAGAGTGCCAGCCCCTGCACTGGTGCCTGTCATGGACCCGAGGGACAGGAAAGCTCCCCCGATGCCTGCAGAACCTCAGAGGAACATAGTCTGTCTTCAGGCACCTTATTCTCCATTGGCTATGCCATTGATGGTGATAGCAGGGAGACAGTGGGCAGATGTTCAGGCTCAGGTTGCTCCTCTCCTTCCCCCCGACACCCCTAACTCCCATCCTTCAGCCCAGTCTCTCAGCCCGACCACTGGCCGGCAGCCCACCTGCACTCCCTGCTAAGTTGGAGCCAGCTTCTCATTGTACCATTGTCCTGCTCAAATTCCCGGTCTCCCCGTGGCCTCCAGGACAAGGTCCAGCTGCTCAAGTCTCAATCATCTTACCCCCGCAGCTGCCCTGCCCAAACAAAATTATGCCGTGCTTTGTCACTCCAAGCTGTCATTCTATATCCTACAGTAGGAATACCTCACCTCCAAACTTGAGTAGAAACCACGAGCTTGGATCATCTACTCACTGGGTGGCCTTCAGAAAGTTACTTAACCTCTCTGAGCCTCGTGTTCTTTGTCTACAAAATGATGCTATCCAAGAGAGAAGGGCTTTTGCGTAGAGGTACTATACAAGGGTTTAGCCCAGTACCTTGAACATACTAAGAGCTCAGTAAAAGTTGGTTATAATAATAGCCATAATAATAAAGATGATGGGCATGATTGTTCTATCTCAAGTCATCACAGACTTCTGTGAGCTCCCAACTGAGCGCCACTTCTCCTTTGTTTGAAGTCTTTCTGAATTTGTGACCGTGCTCACATTCTGCATGGTATTATCGTGGTTTTCCCACTTACCCTGTCTCTCCTTTTGGAAGCAGGAGCTATGACTGACCTCTGGATCCTTTGTCTTATCTAAAAATGGATCCTGGTGTTTAGTAGGTGCTCAGTAAAAGTTTCTTCCATTTGGATGTTCCCCTGGGCCCTGGAGGGAGGGCCAGAGAAAGTCGATGGTGCTCCTGAACTGCTCAGGAGTAATGGGTCCCTCTTTAGAAGCGAGACAGAGTTGCTCACTGTGGCACTGGGCCTGTGAGGGCACGTGGCACAGCCTGGGCAGCCACAGGGACCAGCTCATGAACTGTGCCCTCATGCCCCACACCCTACTTCTCAAAGCCTGGACCGGTGCTGTGGTCAGTCACCAGAAAGAACAGGGGAAGTGTGTGCAAGAGGGCAAGTGCTTTTGTCACTGAGACTCTGCTTGGGAAATGGGAGAAGTGGAGGGGAAGAACTCCTATGTTCTGAGGCTTGCAGAAGGAAAATGGGGTAGGAAGGAAATGACTTGGGCTGTCCCCAGCTCAAAAGGAAGACACTGCTCCTGTGTGTGGAGTTCATCAGGGAAATTCTCCTCCGCATTACACGGAGCTCCACAGCTTGATGAGGGTGAACTCAGAGGGCTCCCAGCTCTCCGATTCATCTGAACCGCAAGCCTGGGTTGGCAGGCACACAGTTGCCTCTGCCCCAAGCTGACCTTGTTTGAAATTCCCCATGTTGCCATCATGGTCACAGGACTCAGTCACCCTGGGCCGTAGGTCAGTTCACTCACAGTTGCTGTCCTCTGTGAATTTCAATCTGAAGAGACAGGCTGGCCTGTCCCCCACCTCTCAGGAGCCTGTATCTGAAGCTAGTCCCAGGGATCAAGCCGTCTATTCTGACCCCAGCCCCGAAAGAGAGGGTCACACGACCAGGTGGTGATGGAGCCAGGGCTTGAACGCAGAACTCCGCTGCTCAGTCCAGCGTACTGTCTACTCCCCGCCAAGATGCCCCCCTGGGCTGTTCACTCCAAGGACATAACCCACGAAGAAAGGAGGGGTTGTGAAATACTTCCACTGGAAGCCCAGGGCTGGCTGAAAGCCCAGATGGCTCTCTCTCTCACCCCTCCTAACCTAGTCTCAATTCCACAGTTTTCATTTCACTCATTTGTGTTAACCCTTCTTCTCCATGAGGCTGTGGACTGCCTTCCAAGGAGCAGCTCCTGAGAACAGCTGAGCTGACTTCTGCTTGCACCTTCCCGGACACCTGACTGGCAAGACCTTTGCATTGAGCAATCACCTTGTGCAAACTGACTCTTCCTTGCCCTTCATCATTACTCGGCAACTCTGCAAAACAGTAACTGAACTGTTTATTTGTACTTCAAGCTCAAGATTGAAAAGCTAGCTTTGTATTTCTTTCTTTCCCTTGAGGAGGTTACTAGGGACCTATGGGATTTCTGGTCTTTGACTCCTAACCAGTCACCTTAATCTTCTGCTAGCCCCCAGTCTGTGCCAGGTGACACAGGATGTGCCGGGGAGGAAATATGATATCCCTCCAGAGGGAAGATGCCCCCAAATGGAGACTTACCATTCACTCAACAGCACCCCCAACCACCCATCCCCATGGCCACCAACCAACACTCGTTTCCATTGCATCCAGCCAGCCTGGGGCATTCTCTCCTATGTTCGTTCTGAAGTTTTATAGTTTACAAATCATTTTAGCCTCATTGTAAGTGATGTCCAGGTCCTCTCTGAAGGATAAGCAGGACAGGTGTTCAGATTAGAGAAGTAGCTAATCCTATATATTTATGCACGTAACTGGAACTGATCTGAGCAAGTTTACATGGTTAGAAAGCAGTACAGTCAGCCCCCTGACCCCAAATACACTGCCCATATGGTCTTTCTTTTCCCAGCTGCTTTCCTTATTATCCATCTCACATACCCAACAAAAGGAGCTTTTTAGAACACCAGTTTTCTCACACTATCCTCACCTTCACAAAGCTTCCGAGCCTCCTAAATGCCTGCAGAATAAAATCACGATGATTCAGCTGGTATTTCAAAGTCCTCCATGCTGTGACTCCAAAGTGTCCCCTCAACATTAATTCCATGGCTTCAGTTTGGCAGATCTTTTTTGAATTTCCTACAATGCGCTGTGTACTTTAAACCTTTGGGCCTTTATCCTGTTGTCTCTCTAGACCTCCCCATGTTTCGACCCAGATGTACCCTCTCAGACGCTGCTTTACTAGGGCTTCCTCCTGCTAAAAGTCTCTCCTGGAAAGCCTCGGCCCACAGTAAACTCTACCTTGTGAAATTCCACAGACTGTGTCTACCACACTGCTCTCTGGACTTAGGGAGCAAACCTGCATCAGATAGAAATTGAAGCCCGACTCTACCATCTGTCTCCACCTCAGCCCAAGGCTGGCTGGGCTTTGCATGCTAGAAAAGGGTCATCACATGCATCTGTTGGTGGCTACCTACTAAACATCAGGTTCAGGAAGAGTCTGGGGTAGGATCTGCCTTCTCATGACTAAACAAGAAGCACAATAGAAAAAATTGGGGGTTAAACATTAAAAAACCCCTCCTATTCCATCCCTAAATTATTAAATGTGCCCTTCTTTGTCAAAAGAGGAGGAAGGAGGAGCGCCTGGGTGGCTCAGTCGTTAAGCGTCTGCCTTCGGCTCAGGTCAT